CTTTCCCCGGGGTTAAAACGGACGGGTTGTGGAGCTGCCCACTGACATCCAACTAGCGCGAAGTCAAGACTGAGTGGAGCCATACATTCACTTTCCATTTCTCATCATGGCGTGGTGCATAATAATCACCAGGGACAACTACATCTTCACATTTTTACAGTATTTATATGACAACAGCAACAGATCAGTGTCTTTAAGAATTCAATATGAAGGACAGTGACGTGTGGAAACTCACCAAGAATGCATTTGGAAAATACGGTAGGTATAAGCCACTCCACTGGACTATATCTTCCCACTTTTCTTTATGCATACAATAAACAATGTTAAAATATAATACTATCATAGCGATACTAAATCATTGTCAGAAGACTTTAGAACCCCAATTTAACGTCTGTTGTCAAAATGTCTCTATCAGATGCGGCTACTTTTGTATCGCTGTAGAATGGCAGATCACTCTGACATACAAAACGAAAGCGAAGAACGACATTTTGATGGCTAAATATCGTTAATGTATGCATCATAATAACTGGTCCAAAAAACTTTGTTACCAGATATTGAACGAACATAACAAGTGCATGCACAAGGCATTTTCATCGCAGAGTGTATGTGGATATGACGTTCCATTATAAAGAATTAATTAGCTATTTAAATATGCGAATACTTCTGCAAGCCACAACAGCCAATAACCTAATTTCGTGACACCGCGTGTCCACAATTGCAGTAGTTACTGATACAACTTGCTACTTGCTAATTTAACAACGGCGGATCAATTCTAAAAGTTATATAGCGACAACGAGAGGATGATCATGGAAAATAAAGTGGGAAGGGAGTGACAAGAGCGGTACTGGCCAGTTTTAAGCCACTAGTCCAGAACGTTTGGAGGGACTGAGTAAAACCACATACATTTATATTAGAATGGAAATTAAAATACAGTGCCTGCCAAAAGCGACGTTCGGTGTCACTGCATTAGAGTAAAAATGAACTGAATTAAAAAGAACTTTAGACGTCTTCAAACTGTAAAGTTTACTTCGGTGCGGTGTTTTTTCTGTTAGGTATGAATCGCATTGCTAAATAATTTATGATTTATATCAGCCACTTGCTTCGGAGTTAATAAGCTACGCGTTTCTGTCCGCATGTTAATCCCAAAAAACAAATCATGGGCACGTGTATTACACACACGATTTTGCAGAATTTCTAGGAAATCAGTAAAATATGCCACTGGTGGCCACCAACTAGCTTCTTTCGTCGCTGTCATCACGAGAATGACGAACTCGATGTTCGAAACACTAACCGATGCCCGTCACTGTAAAGTGACGAGTTTACAGAAGGGTGGAATTTAAACATGTATTTACATTTTGGAATTGGTAAACAAGTTGACTTCAACTGGGTAGCTTCCGAGAGCGCAGTGTTCATGTTAACCGTGTTAGCCCGGCTAACATTTAAAAAACGTCTTACTTACATGGTTGAATAGTACTCCAGAAATTTGGAAAACAGCATAAACGATCAAATAAAATGCACATTTAGCCAGCTTCAGGCAGCCAAGCGTTGTTAACCAGCTAGTTGAGGCTTACGCTCGAGGTGAGTGTTAAAAACTCTGGCCACGTCTGATTGATTGCAGCTGGCTAACGATAAATTATATCTGATCGGTTATTCGGTGCTCCAGTGTATGGGGAACGAATTAAGCATGGGAGTGACACATAAGACTATTTTTCGTCTTTGTAATGTTAGCCAGGCTAACACGGTTAAAATGAACACACCGCCCCTGGCAGCTTCATATGATACAAGACAAGCACATAAACAAACCTTGTAAAACAATGTTTGGATTCATTCGCTGTTACAGCCTGAACAGAGAGACGTGGAAAATACATATTCAGATCATAAAATTTGACTACAAACGACTACATTATAGAGAAACTAGTCTTATCAACCCAAAATTCCCAATACTTCAGAATCATCAATTTCACCATGCTAACGACTGAGACAGTCAACTGAGAATAAAAACACAGAAAAAAAGTTGAAATGAAGCGAAGCGTAGTAGTGAAGCAACTCACCTTCGTTCTTGGGGGCGGGAGGCTTCCTGGTCGCCCAATTGGTTCGAATGCTCCTGCTTCCCAGCCACTGACCGTTCATCGCCGCGATGGCACTTTCTGCCTCCTGCAACGTTCAAGAGATATCACGTGACCTGGGTGAAGAACAGGAGGTTTTGAGGTTCTCGCGGCGCTGAATACGAAGATGGCTGTCTTCTGGGTTGTAGCGCCGTGTAGTCTGGTAGACGTTTCAACGTTTCAGAAGGCCTTGAATAACTCATCGCCCTGATGATGGAGGCAGCAAGGACCTCTGAAATGTTGGTAAACTTATACCAGTACACGGCGCTACAACCCAAAAGACAGCCATCTTTGGGCGAAAAAATCTCCACTTCAAATCACAGGCATATATCGACGACTTAGGGACGTTGGCCCTTTGCTGATAATTACACTTGTGAAACGCCGAAAGATGAAAGTGGAAACAGTTCACTTACTGGACAACAGATGTTGGTCTAATTGGCACAAACACATATTTTTTTGTAGCATTTTAGGCATGTATTATTAAATACTGACATCAACTTACTTAAGTATTAGAAGAAGCAACTGAACAGCATATCGATTGCAGGGCATAACCTAATATGGACGTGCCACAGCACATGCGGTCAGTCACCGGCTTCTCACCGCGGAGACCTGGGTTCGCTTCGAGGACAGTCCATGTGGAATTTGTGGTGGATAAAGTGGCATTGAAACAGGCTTTTCTATGAGTGCTTCGGGTTTCCCTGCCAATATCACTCTACCGCTGGTCGATATGCACTCATGTATCATCTGGGGGTGGACTAAGGAAACGTTAACGGACACAGTTTCACAGAAACACAGTGCCAACTCCATTTCAGCAATAACAAGTATAATAATGATAGCAATAAATAGGGAATGTCACTCTTCATTGTTTCCAACGTATTGGATTTTTATGGATGAGAAACGTAACCCCTAATTTTGAGAGAAGAACATAAATCAAGGTGTTTGAAAGGAATTATTTAAGTGGACAATTTGGAACATTATTCGGCTTACACGATGAGACAGGGCCTAATGCATTCTAAGAGGTTACATATGGATGGCTATTTACAGCACAGACCTATACGCCAATAAAGAAAACAAGACAGAAAATGCACAAGGAATTTTGTTAAAAACGCTTTTGAAAAACCGTTTCTCTTCCACTGCTCTTCTCTGCCTCTGATCCTGACTTCGTTTTATTCATCTAATTCATGGTCTTCCTCCGTTTCTCTTTCCCGGTGACACCCAGTCGACCACTTGTGTGGGTCGTCTATTATCTGTCATATTTCGGGCGTCTTTAAAAAGTAAATTTTGTTTTAAAATAATCACAACAAAACTTCGTTAACCAGTGTTTATTCTTTCCTCTAATTACATAACTGTGAATTTTCCTTCCTTCACATTCGTCCCGATTGTCTCCAAAATTCCAGTTCCACAGATAGCGTTTTCTTCTTCGTGAAATGACACACTTATGGACCAACATTCTGTGTTACTGCCTTCTATATACTTCATTTATTGTCTTCTGCAACTCCTTATCGTATGCCATCCATCGTCGAAATTTCATAGTCCTAATTTTACATTGCAGCCAATTCTTGAACAATGTCTTCCATACTTTTTAATTTTCATCTCCAACTATTGTTATAGTGTCGCTTTCTCGAGGGATAAACTGTATGTAGGTTTGTCGATTAATCGATATGATATAGCACGATGACATCGTAAAATTTAATGTCAAGGTTCAAATTTCTCTCATAATTTCCTTGTCACATAGTCTTATATGTTGTCTTCAACATCTGGGTTATTATCGGCTGGTCAATGCGATACCGTCATGACTTTATAAAACTTTAAAATGATCCGTTGATTTCTAAAATGGCCAGTTCTACTGTAACCAGCGATAACTTTTAGGAACTTAATATCTGTCATTTCATTACTTTCCTACTGTTCCTGATAACAGCGCAATAAACTGGAGTCAAAGTCAGATCAGAATAAAAAAAATAATAAAAGAAAAGAAAAGAGAAAGAAAAAAAAGAAAAAAGTAAAAAACAACAACAAACAAACGGGCATGTCAGTATACAAGCGAACGGGCAAGATTACAATTTTCCCTTCTGTTAACATAACTTCTGGTCTCCTGTCACGACATAATCTGTTTGTTACTTCAACAAGACGTCAAGAAAGCGGATGTCAGGGAACAGGAATGACCTTGTCGCCTAACAAACCATGATTAAAGTGGGCCATTAGGAGTACTTGCATAAATCCTGAAGTTGGCTGTAAGCACCTTCCAGCGTCCAGCTGTTTGCCTGTCTGCATATGTCCTGGTAAATGTATGACTTGTCTGCAGACACATATATTCAGGCTGAAATACAATATAGTGCAGAAAGCGATTTTGACTGTGTATAAAGGTTTGTAGTTCAAATACAGTAAGTATTCATTCTAAAAGCACAGCAGGTCGGAATGTGTAGGTAAATACAGATCCACTAAAGAACATTAAGTAAAATTATGAGAAATGTAATTATGAAAAAAGTGAGCATGTTACGAAACTGAACACTGAATGGTTGAATCTGAGGTTTTCACGGCGATGAGTCTGAAGAAGGCTGTCTTCAGAGTTGTTGCGCCGTGCAGTCTGGTAAAAGTTTACTGACGTTTTAGAGGTCCTTGCTGCCTCCATCATCAGGGCGATAAGTGATGAGGCAGCTATCATGAAAACTGAAAAGTTTTCAGAGACAGACCTTTATGATAACCCTTCCTAAACCATTTAAAACATGAAAGGCAACTGTCTGTACTGTATAAATTATATTCATAAAAAATGCGACAATAAACTAAGCAAATAAATAAGTAAGATAATACAAATATCAGTTCAACAAAGAAGGGGTACTTTTGTGATTGAAATCATAGAAAGGAGACAACAATTATTCGAAAATAAAACTACGAATGTAACACTGTATTTGAAATAACAACACATTTTTATCATTATAGACGATCTGTTTATAAAAATAACCTATGTATTATGACACTTTAGTGGCCATTATTTATCGTTTTCATACACGTATTTCATTGTGACACTGTAACTTTAAATGATGACACATTATAGAAACGGAAGCTGAAACGCGTACTTAGTTATTTCATACAGAACAGTGAGTGTTAGGCATTACGGTATTCTGCGGTACAGACCGGGCCTCATTAATCACAGTCACTCCTTGAGGTGACCGGTCGAGGAAGGGTCGTGGATCATTTAAAACAACCTCAGAGCAGTGAAGGTGCTCACCACTCCATCTCACTAATTGCTTGAGAGGGAGACACACACACACACAGACAACCTAACCTAACTCGGTGGGAATCCAAGAATTCTGAAAGCTGCGTTGTATTCGGTATATTTACACTTCTTCCGTCACTATTTGTTTCGTACCCACCGGGACAGCACAAAACTCAGTTCTTTTTTGCATTTTTCTTCTAACATGTTTAATTAAGTGTTTTACCTTCCTAATAAAGAATTTGTAATGTATTATTCAGGTACGACAATTCTAGGCGTGTTAAATGATGACGGACGACAAAGGCGAGACGTGTAACTAGTATAAAATATTGATCGAGAAACACGAAAAAGATTATCGTTTGGGATACCTAAGAAGAATAATATTAAAATGGTTTCCTGGAAAACTGCGTAAAGTCAATTGAAAACTTGTCCGGATAGCCGGTACATCGGCTGAGATACGAACAGGAAACACGTTGCATACAAATACAGATCATTAAACCTACTGATGTGCTCAATGCAAACATTCTTCGCTTCTATCATTTTTTTTTATCATTCGGTATTAGTTAATTCATTTTTATTTTATACGTCTGTAAAACATGACTTTGTACTTGAACCTGGATTATTTTGAAAAAACACAGAACTGCTACTCACCATACTATACGGACATACTACATTTCTTCGGCTACACAAATGCCCTACTGAATTCAGAAACGACACAGCTAATTACTGCGTAATAAAAGGCAGCGACATTAAAGTACTATGTAGATAATATGGTGTAATTACGTAAATGCTGATCCTATTTGCATCCGTGTTTTCTTCTAAATAGATTCTAATTAGCAACATTTTGTATGAGCATAAATTTACACACATAAACACACACAAGTTTGCACACATTTACTAAAAATACTACAAAGATCAGAAAACACTGCCTTACATTTAGTTACGTATTTACCAAACCGAAAAATATTTCAAATAGTAACAGCTGACGTCAATGACACCTCAATTTTACTGTATGTAACAGTAGATGTACACTCAAGACGGAGACAACGTTGGTAAGACCTACAAGAATGGTACCCTCAGTGTTACTAATTCGAAATTTATCCTTAAATATCATAGGAAAAAAAAACATTATTCCTGAACACATCTGCACCGGGACTCGAAGCCGAGACAGTTTTCGGGGGTTTTCGACTTCGTCCTGTAATCTTCGCGTTGAAACAAACAACTACGATCTTGGCGCCATTCTTCCATCGTACTTAGTTTCCGAACTACAGAAACCATCCACACCGGGACTCGAACTCAGGAAACTTAAAAAGTTTATCACTTTCTGAAATCTCTTAGAAGGCAAAAGCATGCCAAGCCTGGTGTAAATTCGTTTATCCGTTGTCTGAGTCGGCGTTTGGACGATAGGCATCGCGACGCTCGGCGTCGTTTTCATAGCGTCGTGCCTGTTTGTTTCCCTAGGGTCATGTACGCTTAAATCTTGCGTGGGCGTCGCAGTGAACAGCGTCGGTTTTCCAGCATCATGTCTTGTGGCTTCTCTAGGCTTATATACGCTTTTTATTAAATCTTGATTCGGCCGAAATATATCCAAAATGATGCGCGCGAAATCCATGTTCAGCTCTCAGTTTGATCCCGGTAACTGATGAACCAATTGTGTTACGGGCGTGATACATAGTACACATATGCATACCAAATTAGCATACAATTTCTGCATGAAACTGTTTTATATGTTACTAAATGCAAATATGTTGAAAATAAGAATTTTTGATAACGTTAAGAATACGTATTACAATATGCACGTTGACGAAATCATACAGAAATGTGGCTACTAAAATAAC